GGTAAATGAAGTTTAAGAAGGAGGAGAAGGGGGGGGGCCGGGGGAGTTACCTGAATATTGAGTGTTTAAGGAAGCATCTGTTGAAGATTGAAGAATTAATCTTGTTTTAACTACCCAGATCGGATTAGTCATAGTTAGTGTCAGTATTCCAGACTAAACAAAATAAAATTAACAGGGCCGGGGTTGGAACTTGTAAATTTTTTAAATCTTAATCTATTTATAAATCACAAATCAATTCAAATCAAATCCACATTTGATCGAAATAACGATGATCAATTGATTGCGACTTGAAAATTAACACTAAACGAAAAGAATAAAACAGTAGTCCATCATGTCTTCAAACAGGTATTACTAAAAGTTCTTTTTTAATAAAGACTTATTTTTTACAAGGAACCAGAATCTGGAATAGGCGCCCGAGCGCTGTGGCTAAAAAGGACCGAGCGCTGCGGCTAGGACAGACTTGGTCAGCTGCCGCTTTGGAAATTGCACATTTGAGAAGTTGCCACTTGGGAAAATACCCTTTGGAAGTGGCTACTTGGATAAATGCCTTTAGGAAAGTAGCGATTATCCAAGTTTATTTCAACGAAAACCTTATTTTCCCGTTAGAGTTCCGAAATCATAATTTGTAAATATACATAATGGACCAATAGGTCATTGTGATTTTCTCTGTTCCACTAAAGTATTAATTCATTTTACTTAAACTTGTACGTTGTACACTCTCGATATAATTTTAGAAGAATTGGGTATAAGGGTAGGGTGGGGGGAGGGGGGGGGGAGCAATTGCACTTTGACTGCCAACCTTTTCCCCTCTTTTTACAGTTAATCCTAAGATCAGCGAAAAACTCCTATCAAGTCTTTTCCATACAAATAGAAATCCAGGGTATATTTTCTTAAGAAGTATCTCACAGATGAGTTGGGAGGAAGTTGCGGGATAGTTTTATAGATTTAATAAAAACTTAAAAACTTGAATATCGTTTTTTTGAGGGATGGGGGGCGAGGGATATAGGGTTGTCTTCTTACCATTGATGCAGTTGCAAGATGAGTAGCAGCAGAGAGTTGTTTATTCAGATCTCCAGCTTGCATTACAGATTTACCCCAGTTATAGAAGAAGAAATAAAATCCCCAGGCAGCCCCAGCGCCAACTTTATTTTCAAAATAATTATCTTTTATAAAAGCCAATACTCAAAATTAAAGGAACTTCATTTACAGAGGTGCATGTCCGATTCACTTTGTCTTTGTCATTAATGAATAAAATCCTTGTATTTAAATTGTGAGATCTCTTTCAAAGTGGCTTGCGGATTTATGCTACAAACAAAGTGGAAAAAATTGTCAGAATTCAATACGATATAAGATAGAACAACAATGATATATTTTTTATTGTTACTCAGAGTTGCGGCAACGCGCTCACTCTTAGCGCTTCCTAGCCGCAACCCTATATCTTCTGGAAAAATGTCATGCAATATTTTTGCCTCAACTCTATGTTTGTGAGTGAGTTTGTGAGTTGGAGGCTGTAGGGGTGCGGCTTGCCTTTCCCCCCCTCATGACACTAATGATATAAGCTTGAACAAAGCAAACCCAATCTTCAATTAACTAAAGATTACTTCTTCTTCCAGAGTCAGGATTTTGCAAAGTGCAATGAAAGCAAACTTTTAGAGAATTCAATTTTGAAATATGTTTATTTACTTAGATTCTTCCTCATACCTAAGTCTAAGCATCTAGAGTTAGACTGTTAAAGAACAGAAAATATGGAAACAAAACTTTATCTTAAATACATAAAACAAGCTTCCCTTAAAGCTTGTATAAAAAAGAGTAAAGATAGTAGGGATATCTTTCAATTGAAAAAATAAGAAAATCTATGAGAGCAAATATTTAAAAAGTTCAAATATTTTCGTAGATTTTTTACGACGAAGTGTTTTGATAAGTTTTAATGTATAGATGAATGAATCTACGTTTGGAATTTAATGAATATCGAGAAGTAGTTCAAATAGACATATATATAGTTTAATTACTTCTAACTGGTTCAAATAGACAAACATATAGTTTAATTACTCCTAACTGGTTCAAATAGACATACATATAGTTTAATTACTCAGATTATGAAATCTGACTACTGCTTACATAAAATGCTAGAAGATACTTTTCCCCTTCTGTGTTTTGTTATAGATCAATCTCCCCAGTTTATGTACGGAATAGAATGTAAAGGTATAACCATGACGATGACATAAACCTAATATTTCGGAACCATTTAAGAAAAATAAACCTTTTGAAAATATTTCCTAAATTTGGTGACATTCCAGCATACATTCCGCGTACTCCCTCGGATTTAACTAAAATAATCAGTGACGTCACAAATGTACAAAAGAAACTTTTTTGGACGTAATCAATTTTCATATTTTTAGAAACACAAAATACATTTGATTTTTAATAACACATCTTCTATGTATCTATTTATATAAAGTTGTAATCTCTGTCTGTCTGTTTGTTTGTCCCATCATAACTCAGGAAACCCTTGACCGATTTGCCTCAAATTTTGATTGAGGAACTCGAAAGAATCTAAGTTGAGTGGGTTTACTTTTAACAAAAAAAATAGCTAAAACCGTAATTTTCGACAAAGGGCGGTTAACGCTTGGTTCCCGAGCTAGTATATACAATATACATATACATATATATTTATAAAGTTATAATCCCTGTTCGTTTGTCCGATCATAACCCCCTGCACTGATTGGCCTAAAATTCTGATTAGTGAACTCGGGAGGCCCAAGGGAATGTTCTTAGTTTTGTTTTAAGACTTTACGCGAAAATTTAGTTTCCCCGTAAAATCGTTTAAGTGAAAGTAAATGGCAGAAGTAATTTTTAAAAAAGTTGTTTATCTGTTTGGATGACAGATCATAACTTATGAACCCCTTCCTTGACCGATTCAAAAAAAATTTTGATAAGGGAATTCGGGAGAACTACGGGAATGTTCTTAGCTTAGTTTTACTATTCTTAATTGAGTGGGTCGACTTTCATAGAGGGGAAATTCAGACAAAGCTGGGTTCCCAAGCTAGTTTTACTTTAAAATTATAAAACCCATGAATACCTTGAGGGTAACAACAAAGGCAAAAAAAAAATAATCGATGTTTCACAAAAATATACCTATTGATGATACTGCGTGTTTGATTCCACCATATGACGGTCGGATTCCTGTTTTACCATCACTCACAGCAAATCTTAATCAAAAAAAAAATAATTATAATTCTTACAAATATTAAAAACTCAAGAGTTTTACATTGACTACGGAAATCAAATTGAACAATGATCAAAAAAGATGTTCATCATTTTATCTAAGGGCTTTCTTTGAAGTCTGCTTAAATGTGGTTTGAACCAACATCAAATTTTTATTATTAAAAATGCTTAAAGAGTCTTTAGCTTTATAAAAGCCGCAAGCAAGAGTTTCATTTCCTAATTTTCATTTATCGAAAAAATCCTATATTAACCTGATCTTAAGAACGTCAAGAGGATGAAGAACTAGCGTCGACATCACCCCTCCTCCTAGACCAGCCACCAGATGCTCATACCTTAAAGGAACTGTAGACGAAATCGCAAGTGGCCTTTCACTTATAAAGTGTCATTTTCTACTCACAACGGTTCCTTTAAACTTTTGTCTAAGTAATAGTGAGAAAGATATCGCCGTTTTTTACGAATAACGGTTAGTTTATTATGAATTTTAATCAAATTATATTCTTTGCATGAAAATTTCACTTAAAGTGTTGACTTAAATATAAAAATATACACCCCTGCAAGAGTACCCTCCTAGGTTAAACGTGTTAAATTCTGAAATTTCAATATATTTTCCAACAGTACAAATGCATTTGACTTTTGTCGAGAAAACACCACTAACTCCCATGTTTTAAGAGAGTTGCTAGTCCCTGCATTAAAGTGTACACTGTACAGGGTACATACCTAACTGATGAGAACCATGTAAACTTTTTCTCAGACACATTTATTTGGGTCATATTTTTTCCTCTGAAAAAAAACCAGTCTGAATTTAAAATCACATCAATATCAAATGGGGAGGGGGGGGGGAGTAGATTTTAGAGGGAGTACACTGCAGAGGGAAAGGGAGTAGTTAGGAGAGCAAGGGGGAATAAATTATATAGGGATGTGTAGAAGATCAAAGAAGGAGGAAAAGTGTATTGCAGAGGGAGGGGGAGTATATTTTAGAGGTAGGAGGAATATATTCAGCAGGAGTGGGAGGAGTAAGTTGTGAAGGAGGGTGAAAGGGGAGTATTTAAAGATTTAAACAATTAAATGCATGAATTAAGATGATTAAAGAGTTCATCTGCAACTTCCTCATTCTTTACACGGATCAGGAAGGAGACAGGTCCTACTGGTTCACCTAGGAGACAATCTATGTTAAACAAACATATATTTTTTTATAACCTGTAAGTGTAAACCATCAGTGAAACTGAATTACTACTGTGAACAATAGTGTAGTATAATGAATCGAAAAACGACCTGATCTGATAAAAAGTAATGAGCAAGGGTGTGCGTATAGACCCACTAAGCTACAGTGGAGTTAAATTAGGAAAAAAAATTCAGGCCACGGTAGTTGTGGATTCACGGCTTCAGATACTTCCACTCAGGCATAACAGTATCTTTGCACATGTCATGCTAACTCTGTGATCAACATACTCCAGAAGGAGGCAGAAGGGAAGGGTGGGTGCCTGATAAAGCTTTGAAGGGTATTGTTGTGAATCAGAAAATGATTTATTTCTTTTCTTAATCTTTTAGTTTGGATGAGTCCAATGCAATGCAATGTAGAATGTAGATTGCCTAAGGAAGGGAAATGCAAGCAGATGTAATATTAAATGAGCCCCCCAATGCGAGCCCTTCTCTCAGGGTTCCATCCATGGAGAAAATTTCCATTCAACCACCCTCTGTCTTCTGTTACTAAACCAAGATTCAATCCAGTTCAGAAGATTTCCATCAATACTATGAGCTCTGAATTTTGTTTCAAAGCGTTTTTAAGGGACCTAGTTAAAGGCCTTTGCAAAGTTTAGCTACACAATGTCTAGAATCTTAACTGAGTCAAGTGCTTCAGATATTCAAGTAAGTTGGTATGACAGGATTTATTATTCATAAACCCTGGTTGGCTAGGATTTATTGGTTTATTTTCAGTTAAATGGTCTACAATATGGCCTTTAATAATGGACTCCATTATTTTGCAGGGTACACTAGTAAGGAATATAGATCTATAGTTGGATGGTTTACCTCTAGCCCCCTTTTTGAAGATTGGTGTTATAAAAGGTTCTCTCCAGTCAGTCTTTTGATCTTGATTTAACATAAGAGTTAAAAACTCTGCTGTTCGTGCTGTTATTTGCTAATTTTTTTCAAGATTCTTTTTAGCATTTCTGATAGAATTTTGTACCTGTTTTTAACATTTCTAGTATTTTATATAGGTTTAATTGTCTCTGTGTATCTTGTAACTTTTACAATATCTTCTTTTTTAAAAAATGTTTCTTAGGATGGTTCTTGTCATCCATCTTGGTTTAGAGTTGGATTTCTTGGTTTGTTTTGGTGTCAAAGTGTTTACAAGAGTATTAAGCTTATCTTTAAATATATTCCAGGATTCATAGGTATCACATCCATCAAATTCTACGTTCCAATCTACTTGATATTGGGGAGACAAAATAGATAGATAGATAGATTTTAGGGTTTCCAATCAAAATTAAACTGCGCGGAATTGCGCTGATTTTTGGGCAGCTGTACACTGAACAGTATTGTACAGTAACTTAAACAGTACAACTAATGAATCATCCCTTTTCGGCTTCCTGGGAGATTAATGAATGAGTGATGTCCTAATACATTGTTATATAACCAGTAAAAACAGGATTAATTAGGGTAACTAAGAGAAGATTATTCTCTCTAGTCGNTGGGGGGGAGGGGGGTCATACTATATTATTATAAAACCTGTAATAGGTGGATTAGGTAGTGTAACCAAGAGAAGATTATTGTCTCCAACCCTCTCTATTCTAGTCCCTGTCTGAACCAATACGTTTAGCAGAATAGTCCCAAGAGAGTTTTCAGACCTTGAATAGAACAAAGAAATTAAATTTGATATTGTCGCCATGGGAAAAAAAGTTGATGAATAATTAATATTTTGCAAAGTTTTAGTGATAAACAGAAAACTTTGAAATAGAAAGATGACTACTATACTCAAGTTATGACTTGCAATAGTTAAATAATGGTTCAAGTATCGCTATAACGTCGGCTTTTTATTCTTTTGTTTTAGCTGGTTCTCATTCTTCATATGAAAATATTGAAATTTAGAATTGAAACTTATATTTTGATTTGGAGCAATATGACTATTTTGCACATATTGGTTGATATTTTGATTTTTGCAAATCTGAATCCCAGGAATCCAAGAGCCACAATATTGATCACAAATACCGATTTTGCCATGCCATATGTACGAGTTTGGGTTGACGATTTTTTTGTTTAAAGGTCAGGGGAAAATGAAATGAGAATTTTAAGTGAAAATTTGTTTAAATTTTACTACAACCAATGTTCAATGCTAAAGTTAAGTAAAAAACTAGCCATTTCTTAACCGATTTTTAACAATTTTAGGGCTTAATCATGTTACAATTTGTTAAGACCACGATTTAACGATATAAATTTTTTCATTAAAATCGTGAAAAATAGGTTCCTGCGTAAATCTATCTTTAGTGGGCTTGCACTAACCCTTCCAAATGAATTAGATAAAAAAATTCCCTAAAAGCTTTTAATGTTAACAATATTGCATATTTTCAGTTTCCGCCCAAATCATCAAAACATATTCTTCCCCACGGGGGGGGGGGGGGTAATTCTTAAAAATTTACACCCCTGACATTACCTTACGACTAACTGTGTTTTACGGTTATCAGTGTGTTTGAGATAAACAGTCCCTTTACCTCGTTCCTCATACTTCCCCTCCTAATATTTGAGATTAATTCTCAGGTGGCATTTTTTTACGGGATTGGAGACATATTTCAAATGACCCTTTTGTTAGCCCTTTATCTGATCTACACTGTGAGAGATATCGTCGTTTTACCAATATTCATCCTTGTCACTTGGTTAGAGAACCGCGATTGAAAACTGTAAATTTTACCCCTTTTTTGGTCAGACAAAGGATTGAAGGGTGCCATTGTGAATTGTGACTCTTTTTAAGTTTAAGAAAGGTCACTCGAAATTAGTTGCCAATCCCTTTGAAGTTAGAATTTAAAGGGACTGTTGGTATAATTTTACGTTGCCCTCCATGCAAAGATGCCAATGCCCGGTTCACAACAGTTCCCTATAAATCTTTTCTGATCAATACTGTGGAAGATATTGTCGTTTTACATGATTTAAAATATAAATGTAATTCCTATTTTATTTCCTTAAATTTAAATGTAAAGAAACAACAATTGAATATATTCAGTTTTGAAAATTATAAACATTGATATTTAATTAATGTTTGTAAATCGGGCATTGCCATCTTTGCATTGAGAGCCACTTGAAATTATGCGTACAGTCCCTTTTATCTAAGAATCCCCCCTGCACTCTATCTTTGTAATTTATTTGATTATTCTACATGATTCATAGGTGTAGAGGATAAAATAAATCCTTATTTTATAAAATTAAATTGAAAAATATATGATCCATATCAAACTAACAACATGGGAAAATAATACCTATTTATAACACTATTAATTTGGTTTGCAGTGTTATAGAGTTTTTGGACAGAAATCAATAAGAGTCAAACCTTCTTAGATTAAGAGAGGAACAAAATATAATCTTAAAAAGCGAGAACCTTCGAAATACAGGGAAATTTCAAGTCCACAAACTTTATAGCACGTCGTGTCAAAATAATAGTGTTTTGGGTAATTTTATGAAACGGTTGTGTACTTGTCTTATTGCAATAGCTATTTCTAGATAAAATAAGCTTTTAAGAGAACAGAAATAAGAATATAAAGTTAATTTTATCTTAATTTTCATTTACATTGAATATTTTTTTTTGGGAAATATCCTAAAAATCCGGGAACCAATCAAAACTGTATAGCACACGTGCTATAATGTAAAGCTAATTTAACATTATAGCAAGATGATTACTTTATAGTATACGTTCATAATAAAATTCACCATGAAGTGAGTAACAATGATGAAGTACACAATATTTTCATAAAAATATTTTTTGTTAACACATTTGTTTTGATTAATAAAAATAAAAATTAAATGAATTAGAGTCCCACCAAACCATTTCTATGATTATTATGTTCTTTTAGAATAACATAATTTGGTTTACTCTAAAAACATTTTCTGGAACAAACATATTAGGATATACTGAGGAGGAAAATATATAATTGGTGGTTTAACGATTACAGGGGTGTATGCATATTTCTAAAAAAAATTATTTCACCCCCCCCCCACACTTTTTAATTATAATTTCTCCCCCACAATTTTTGCGCTGAGCGCAAAGTTTTTATAATTTTTTTCTCTCAGAATTGGAGAAACTAATGAATTTTGGATTTTGTGATTGGCAACCAATTAAACCTTTTGGTTGGTTGGTATCTAACATCCGTTAAGGTGAAGCCAAGAGGTTCACACGGAGTTCCATTAAGAAAGTTTTATAACTGCTAAGCTACCTTCATGTAGAATAGTTTACAATTCTGGGAAAAATATTGGTTTTCTTCAACTCTACTTGCAGGAGTAGAGGTCTCTAAACTACCAGGCGTTGAAGTTTCCAACTTGGTCTCCTCAGTCACAGCCTTATCAACCCATAAATAGATTATACATGTCAAATCAAGTCAAATCAGGCTTTTAGGGACGTCCTATAGAGTGTCCCAAAAACATGGGAATTGAGTGAATAGTTTGAGATCGTCATATGCAATTAATTATGTCTGCAAGAGAAGGTTTATTTTATGAAAACGGTAAGGCTATAATGATGTGTCTATAATGAAAAGATGAACCGTGAACACGAACAAGATTATTTTGTTTTCTTGTTTTATAGAATACAACCGTATGCAATCAAAACAAACAAACAAATTTTACACCATAGAAGACGATTACAGCTTTCTCTGTAGGTATCACTGTACTAAATCAAAAAAAATTTATATAGACTATCAAAAAAATGCCATTCAATTCCCATGTTTATTAGGACACCACAAAACTTATTAAAGTAATAAAAATTTATCGCAAAACTTCCGCAAAGAAAAAATTTATTGTTAAAGATGGGTAAAATTGTATTCATTCTTGTATCATTGTGAGCTAGCTATGATAAAAGTCAGTTTCTAGCATCCCATGTTTACCTGGACCAGTTTCTTAGACTGTATCCCATGTTTGCCTGGACCAGTTTCTTAGGCCGTACCCCATGTTTACCTGCACCTGTTTATCCCATGTTTACCTGGATCCGCTTCTTAGGCTGTATCCCATGTTTGCCTGGACCAGTTTCTTAGGACGTACCCCATGTTTACCTGGATCCGTTTCTTAGGCTGTACCCCATGTTTACTGGACCAGTTTCTTAGGCTGTATCCCATGTTTATCTGGACCAGTTTCTTAGGCTGTAACCCATGTTTACCTGGACAATTTTCTTGGACTGTATCCCATGTTTACCTGGACTTGTTTCTTAGACTGGATCCCGTGTTTACTAGGACCAGTCTCTTAGGCTGTATTCCATGTTTACCTTGACCAATTTCTTAGGCTGGATTCCATGTTTGTGCTTGAGATTAATCATGTGGTTCTTGTAATCATCAAACACAGGGGTGAGGTCGACCAGAAAGTTTTTATCCACGTGGCCTTGAATCCAATTTATCACCTAAATAATAATTTTTGACATACCAGAACAGATTATATAACAGCGTTACCAAGGGTAAGACCTGAAGGGTAAGGGTAAGACCTGAAACTTATTTTATAGGACAATCCCAAGGTTAAATCAAGTCTTCTGCTTTAAGTCTTTAAATAGCTTATTTGATGATTTGGCAAAGAAAGAAAAAAGTTTATAGTTGCGGAGAACCATGAGTTTAAGGAAACAGACCGTATAAATTCTGTACTGTCGTCTCTGAAGTCTCATCCTTTGTGGGTAACCCTGTACATTTTTATATATTTTTAAGTTAAAGGAACATCTTTTATGTCATGTCAAGCACAGATTTTTGAAAAACTAGAAATACAGAATGGGGGAAAAACAAAGCAACTTTGTAATGTACACAGACCCATTTCACTTAAGTGATAAAAAGATTACTAGTTGCTTTGTAACAACATCATATAAACTCAATTTTAATCTCGTCTTCCTATTCCACAGTTTTCTGGTTCGAGAGGTAGGACATAAAAATGCTTTCATGGATGAATTAATGAACTTATAAATAAAAAACACTTAGTACGATTATAACTCAGGAACCCCTTAACCAATTTACCTCAAACTTTGATTGGGGAACTCGATATGAGGGATTCTTAAAATCATGTACAATTATCAGTTAGAAGAAAAAAATAAGTATCAAGAAATTCTATTCATCTTGCAGTGTAAATAAAAAAGCAAAATTTCTGGCAAGTGTAATTAGAAGTTTAGATCCGGATCCTGTTTCCGCAAAAAGAGGATCCGTATCCTGATTCCACAAAAAGAGCATCCGGAATCTGTTTTCACAAAAGAGGATCAGAAACCGTACTCAAGTAATTTTCCGAGATTAGGAAAGTCTAATTTTTTTAATGTTTTTCCAGATTCGGAATTAGGAAATTTGAAAGCGACCAAAAGGAAGGCCACTGGCAATTACAACAACAGTCACTTTCATCAAACAATTTTGCGTACAGAGTCCGAATTTAATGAATTTGAACCGCGTCGAAAATCCGATATAAACCGGTTTTAATTGAGCGCCGGCTTAAATCTTGAAACATTGAATACAATTTTAAGTGGAACCAACCATATTTTAGCCGCGTCTTAAATTTAAACCCACGGCTCAAATTCTTTAAATTCTGCCTCAACTTTTTTATATTTCTATTTCGGAGTGCTTTTAATGTAACTGGATTTTCTGGAATTTAAAGTCACCCTACATTTAAAGATGATAATGCCTGAGACCTTTAAACCATTTATATGATCAAAAATGTGAAAGATTTAGCCTTATTTTGCAAAAAGGGTCAATTTTTAGCAATTAGCTCTATATTTTGTTGGTAGCATAAGTGTGTCTGAAATTGAAAACATTATTAAAAACTAATTTCAATGGTGGGTCACTAGAAATTACGTCTGCAGTCCTTTTAATCTACTCAAACTTGACTGACCAGTGTAAAAAAGAAATTGTCGAATAAACTCAAGGTTTACGAAGCATCCTGATAAAGCAGCTTTTTACCTGAAGATTCAAAGCTTTGACTTTTCCTAAGTATTCCGCTCTTTTGCTGCTTCCTTCCTTCTTCCCAGCCGAACCTAGAGACCCCTCGGCACCTACAGGACCCCCAGGGGTACCGAAGGGACCCTTAGGAACTCCAAAAACTGGAGCTAGTACTCCTAAATAAAACATAAGTAATTACTAACATTCAGAAAAACTTTTCTCAATATTTTTTGGGTAATAAGCAATGTTAAAGGGATTCTAAGCGTAATTTCAAGTAACCCTAACAGCAAAAATGGCAATGTCAGATTTACAACGGTACCCTTAAAACCATTGTCTAATCAAGTATGAAATAGAAATCAAGGTTTAAAAATTTGGAAACTGATTTTTAATTGAGACGAGCGCATGCTTAGATACAGGTTTCAAGGGTACCATTGTGAATCGACATTGCAATATTTACATGGGGGGGGGGTAACTAGAAGTTAAGCTTACAGTCCCTTTAAGGGAATATAATTTTCGAGTTGATCCCCCGACAACTTCTATTCCTCATCTTTTAAAATATTTTTGAAATTTTCCTCTTATAGTTATATATTGGGCCCATCCTAATTTTTTGGGGGCAAACTCGCGTGATCAAGTAGGTTAAGATACATAGATAGTCACGCAAGATAACACAAAGATTAGGAGGATAGTATCATATGAAACTAATCACCTTTTTCTGATTCAAAAAAGTTGGATTCAACTTTCGGTTTCACAGATTGTGGAGTGCCTCCAAAAACAAATCCTCCAGATTCAGACTTCGCTCCAGGAGTTTCACATCCAAAAACCAAACCACTGGTTGTAGGTTCAGATTTCGATTCTGAAGCTCCTCCAAAAACAAATCCTCCAGTTTTAGGTTCAGATTTCGACTCTGAAGCTCCTCCAAAAACAAATCCTCCAGTTTTAGGTTCAGATATTGGTTCTGAAGCTCCTCCGAAAACAAATCCTCCAGTTTTAGGTTCAGATTTCGGTTCTGAAGCTCCTCCGAAAACAAATCCTCCAGTTTTAGGTTCAGATTTCAGTTCTGAACCTCCACAGAAAACAAATCCTCTGGTTTTAGTTTGAGGTTCTGCTGGAGAACCGCTGTCTCCGAACACAAACCCTCCTGATTTCTTCTCACTTGTTTCCCCTCCTTGGAATTTAAAGCCTCCACTTGCTCCAAATGAGAATTCTGTTTTTTCTTGTTCCTTAGTTGCTCCCTTGGCTCCAGGTTTGGGCGTCTCACAAGCCAAACATTTAATATCTTCAGACTTATTTGAGATCATACAAACATCACAGGACCAGCTACCAGCTTGAGGTTTAAAGACAGATAGCAGGCTGGGCTTTACCCCTGGCTTCGGGGTTTCACAGGCAGCACATTTATCTTTGTCAGAGCTGTTAGAAACCATGCAGGCATCACAGCTCCAGTTGGTTTTAGTTGGAATGAATTTGGCCATGAGCTCATCAGATTTAGTTACAGCTTCAGAGGGTTTGGGGGTTTCACATGCGAGACATTTTACTTTGTCGGAGGCATTGGACACCATGCAGGCGTCACAAGTCCAGTTGGATTTACATGGCATGAAATTGGACATGAGATCATCAGCAGGTTTTCCTGGTGGTTTTGGGGTTTCACACGCAAGGCATTTAGTCTTGTCGGACGCATTGGATATCATGCAGGTATCACAAGTCCAGGTTCCAGGTTTAAGTAGAAAATTTGACAAATCAGACGTATTCTTCGCAGAGGTCTTTTCTTTCTCAGATTCTACTTCAGATTTGGTTGTTTCGGTAGTTTTCGGGGTTCCGAAGACAAATCCGCCAAAAGCTGGTTTAGAATTCGTTTTCGCAGGTTGACTGCCAAATACAAAACCGGAGGTTTTGGATTCCGGTGTTTTCGTACTCTCTGAACTTGATCCATTTGGAACATTTTCTTTTGCTCCATTAGTTTCTGAGTTGGGTTGTTTCAGGAAACTGAATGGATCAGACGAGGCAACAGAGGAAGAAAATGATAATCCGGAAAAAACGTTTTTACGTTCAGAATCCGTTAGATTTCGGCGTTTTGCTTTCCTGATGACCCTCCCTACCATATCAGCTTCGGACGCCTTAAAAAACATTTTACTTGATGATTGCATATTTTGAGTTCTTATTCTAGTTTAGTAAAAATAGGGAAATATCTTAAAAAGTAATCGAGTCTTTGCATCCTGATGATGTTAAGCTTTAATATTTCAAACTAAGACTATTTGACCTAACAGAATTCACAGTTTGAAAATAACTAAGGTCTATGACATCGGATTGCAAAGGTATAAGGATTAGAAAGTTTGTGGCAAAGACTCAATTTCTTTATTTTAGCTGCGATTCTACTAACTGGCCCAAAGGTCGAAACTGATGAATCAGTATTCCCTTAAAACTAAAAACATTTTATAGTTTGGATTATTGAGTCAGTGTCTGTCTATCTCTAAGGTCGCAGATATGAGTTAAATGTTGACTCGTAGATCCATAAATTAACCACTCGCTTAAAATTATAAGATATTGAGTTCAGACACCGTAGATTAGAATTAGCTCATCGAAAAGTTCTTACCTTTCTGTCTCAAAATTTTAAATTCCCACTTTATTGTCCCTGCTGACTACTTTATTGTCCCGGCTGACTACTTTATTGTCCCTGCTGACTACTTTATTGTCCCCGCTGACTTTTTTATTGTCCCTCCTGACTTCTTTATTGTTCCTGTTGACTACTTTATTGTCCCTGCTGACTATTTATTGTCCCTGCTGACTATTTTATTGTCCCAGCTGACTACTTTATTGTCCCTACTTACTACTTTATTGTCCCTACTTCTTTATTGTCCCTGCTGACTACTTAATAGTCCCGGCTGACAACTTAATTGTCCATACTGACTTCTTTATTGTCCCTGTTGACTACTTTATTGTCCCTGATGACTATTTTATTGTCCCAGCTGACTACTTTATTGTCCCTACTGACTTCTTTATTGTCCCGGCTGACACTTTATTGTCCCTTCTGACTGCTTTATTGTCCCTGCTGAATACATTATTGTCCCTGCTGAATACTTTATTGTCCCCGCTAACTTCTTAATTGTCTTAGCTATCTACTTTTTTGTCCCTTCTGACTACTTTATTATTCCTGCTGACTACTTTATAGTCCCTGCTGACTATTTTATTGTCCCTGCTGACTACTTTATTGTCCCTGCTGACTGATTTATTGTCCCTGCTGACTACATAATGGTTCGGTTCAAATCAAATCAAATCAGACTTATAGAGATGTCCGCTACCACATGTCCCACATGACAATTTTATTGTTCCTGCTGACTAATTTATTGTCCCGACCAACTACTTAATTTTCCTTGCTGACTACTTTACTGTCCCTACTGACTACTTTATTGACCCTGCTGACTACTTTATTGTTCCGGCTGACAACTTTACTGTTCCGGCAGACCACTTTGTTGTCTCTGCTGACTACTTTATTGTCCCGGCTGACAACTTTACTGTTCCGGCTGACTACTTTATTGTCCCGAATTACTATTTTATTGTCACTGCTAACTACTTCATTGTGCCTGCTGACTACTTAATTGTGCCTGCGAACTCCTTTATTGTCCCTACTAAATGTTTTATTGTCAGTGCTACTATTTTATTTTCCTGGCTGACTATTTTATAGCCCTTAATGACCAATTTAATATCTGTTTACCTTTCTAAAGGTTCCAGCATCTTTATCTTCAGCTTCATCCTCCTTTTCCCAGTTGTCACGATTTAACTCCGTTGTTGCAGTACGTTTTGCCATTCTTCTGAAAATATGCAGTTCATTACAACATTAATTAGAGAATTAACTATTGCAGTAAGTTAAAATATCATTAAAAAACGAAAATTCTCTCAGTAAATTTTACAATCTGAAGAAAAAAATACATTTAAAAAACTAACTTTAGTTTACTTATAAAATAAAAGAATTGTAGATAAATAAAAAATGTGGAATGGAATTCTAAACCATTGTCAAACATCCGTTTTCATTTGAAATGTTCAATTTGAAAATGAAACAGGAAAAAATGATGGTTAGAAAAAGAACTTGAAATCCAAATGGTGAAAGTTCTAGATGAACCAACAACAGCAACTTTATCTACCATATAGTTACTCCATCACCAGCTTTGTAGGCCTGAATAGTATTAAGAAATTAGGGAACATTGTAGTGGAGTCAAATATCGTCTTCCTTATCATGGAAGAAATCCAACAATAAAATTAAAGAGACTGTAAGCGAAATTTCAAGTGACCCTCCAACCAAAGATGGCAGTGCCAGATTCACAAATGCACCATTGAAACCTTTACCTGATCTAATCGTGTAAGATATTGCCGTTTTTCAAGGTTTGAAACTGTCTTCAGTTAGTTAATACCTATATGTTTTCCTGAAGTTGAAATGCGCAATTCACTTTAGTTAAGAACCCCACAATTAAAAATAGTTGTATTTTAAACTTTAAACCAAAAAACATTTAAATCTAATTCATGATTGATCAGAAAAAGCTTTTAAGAGTACAGTTGTGAATCAGACGTTGCCATCTTTGAGCGGAAGGTTACTTTGAATCAGGCCTACATGTCCTTTAATATGGTTTATAATCAACAGATTACAAATTGATCTAAATAAGTTAATTCTACCTTATAATCCTCAAGCTTGAAAAGAGATATTTCTGTCTCATTAGCAACTCCGAAATCCCTAATCATACAACGGTAAAATATATGTTTCCTGATTATTAATTTATAAGATGGAAAGTTGATTTCTTCAAATTATAACTAAAATATTTATTTCCATGTGCGACTTTTAAAATTCTAATTATATCTTTTCTAGTCTCACATCAAAATATCAAAATAACAAAAAAATAAAAGAAGAACCTGATAGGTTTGGAATTATCAAGAATCAAGGTGTCATCATTCTCCTGAACCAATACGAACACTGAAAACTATTTTAAAAGGCAAAATATAGAGAAGGACAGAACTGGTGTATTGCTAATCCTTTTTGATGGATTAAGGTAAATCTGAACAGTTTAATATCATGCAACTCTGTTCTCGGTCTTTTTTTCATAGATTTTCATAAATAAAATAGTAATCTCTGTTTGTTTGAAAGTACGATCATAACTCAGGAACCCCTTAACCAATTTACCTCAAACTTTAATTGGGGAACTCGATATGAGCAATTTTTTCGTTTAAAAAATCTTAGTTGACTGTTATAAAGAAAACTTGTTTCAATCCAAAGCTGGTAGCCTGGGTTCCCAAGCTAGTAGTACATAAAATTAAAAGCTAGATATCAAGTTCAGATGTTTTAGATAGGCATCTCATTCATAAGTTTCAACCTCAGAAAGTTTTAAAATTAATTTTCATATTATTCTCCAAAAAAATGTATAATTACCTAATTACAGTGAGACCCATGAATCTGTGGAATATGAAGACGACTATTAGTGTGCAAGGCTTAAGTTTTGATTTTTATTAGTCCTATGAACATTGAACAGTAACATACAACACAGCAATTGTGTATTTTTAACAAAACCATTTCTGTTTCACATAACAAGTTGATTTAAAGCATTTATCTGTCTGTCTGTATGTTTGATTGGATATTCGATAATAACTCAAAAACCCCTGGATTGATTTTAATTGGGGAACTCGGTAGAATCACGGGAATGTTAAGCTTGGTTTGAAAATTCAAAGTAATATGGAAAAATCGATTTCTACCCTGAGCTGGGTTCCCAAACCAGTCTATACAGGACTTAAGTTTAAGTGATCCTACATTCAAAGAAGGAACTTGCCCGAATAAATTCGGTTATAATAAGTACATTCATAACAACAAAACTGATAAAGATGTTTCTTTTCCTTTTGGAAAAATTATCTTTTTCAGCGTTGCTCAGATAAGGGTTTAAAAAGTACTGTTCATTTGATTTAATAGAAGGTTTATAGAAACTACGTCTAAAGTACATTGAAATGAATGATTCCTAGATTACTGAAATGTAAATGGTTGCTAGGATTTAATCCTAATAAATAAATAAAATGAGGGAGGTGGTCTCTAAGCCATGCCATTAGTTTAACACTACTTAACCCCGTAAAGTCTACTTATTGGTCAACCCTCGGAGATTCGACCAAAAAGGGGTCGGAAAACAGTCTTGACCAATCAAAGCCGGGAGGAGGTTTTTTTTTCAAAAATTAATTTATTTGAAGCAAACTGCTGGGGGTATTCTGGCCCCCAGACAAGTCACATCAGTATTTCTCCATAATCGTCACTGGCATTTCCAGCTATTCGAGCTTGGTCTGGCTTAAATTATTTCTGATTTATATATTTGTTTCATGTAAGGGGTCCAACAAACTCCATATCTGCTATTTATTTGTTTATCGAACAATACTTAACAATATTCCTAGTAAAGAAAATACTAGTATATATTATTAAATAAACCTGAAAGGAGGAGGGAGAATTGTACTTGAGGAAACTGACTGTTTTGCAAGTTCTAACAACTGTCCACCTAACATTTCCATCAAACATTAATTATATTTAATTTCAAATTCATATTTGTATTCTAGGAAAATTATTTTATTTCTCTGTATTTGTATTCTACTGAAGAATTTCTCCGTGATTGTATTCTACTGAAGAACTTGTAGCTTTTAAGAAATTGAGAATTTTGTATTCAACTTGCTTTCCTGGTTAAAAATAAACTTATTTTCTAACATACATCTTAAAGGGGCAAAACAGAATTAATGAAAACTAATGATTTGTTATGATATTTAAAAAAAAAATATTTTGGGAATTTTAGAATCTCTGAAGGCGCCAACATTCCAAACCGTATTCTTTAAAAAATTTGCTTTATTTGAATCTGTAAGATTTTTATCCTAAGATAAAATATAAGAAAAATGAAAATGGTTGGATCGAAGGTTTTGGCAGTAAGAATATATTCCTAGACGAATTAGACTTGGATTCTGGATTTCTTCAGTTATTTTAAATATCTAAAATGAGACTATTTTCAAATAGATTTCCTACTGTTCTGTGGAAAAGCCACAGCCATCAACTATCAGAAAGGAAAAAAGGATTTATGTAAATTATTGAACAACTTTTTAATTTTGCTCCATTTTAAAGTCGTTGTAATCTTAAATGTTCTTCCATTTAGAGAGAGACATAACTGGTTCACAATGGTATCCTTGAAACCTTTCGATTAAAAATTAATTTGGAAGATAGCATCTTTAGTATATAAACCATAGTAAAAGTTACTAATTTTTAACTAAAGAAATATTGATATATATCCTTACTCGATCCTTCATTAGACAAAGGTTAAAAGGTACCGACGAGAATCGGCAATGCCACTTCCATAAATAAAATTACAGTTATTTAATCAATGAAAATGTTATGCAAATGTTTCCTGTGCTAGATAATGGAACAGATTTGAGAACCAGAGTACGAATATTTCTGTGCGGAAACGATCTAAAAATAAGGTGAAGGGACCGTAAGCGTAATTTCAAGTGACCCTCCGTGCATAGATAACAATGCCCCATTCACAACGACGACACACTTAAAACTTTTATCTGATCAGTAATGTGAAAGATATTGACGTTTTTTATAGGTTTAAAAGTGTTCAATAGTGTTAATTCTAACATATTTTCCTACAGTAGAGATACGAAAATCACTTTTAAGAGAATCCACAATTGATAAAAATCATTAAATAATTATTAACATTCTTTTGTTTAAAGATTAAAGGTACTGTTGTGAATTGGACATTGCAAATTTTGCATGAACAGTCACCTCATTTACCCCTTAAAGAATGTTTACAGAGGCGCAAATTGATTATTCTACAAGGGGGGGGGGGAGCATTTGTTTGGGAAAGTAAAAATGTATTATTAACGGACAAAAGAAAAGCCAAGAGGTTTAATGCAATGTTGAAAAAATGCAAGGGTAATTTAAAATGCCGAAGGCCCAGAAGTATTTATCAGGATCTGGATTAAGATTACAATCTTAAATCAGGTCAAGCAGAATCCGGATCAAGGCCATTATCAAGGTAAGTTCCCGGATAAAGATTAACATCCGGATCCGCAACATATTGGCTCACTTAATTCGCAATTTTAATATATTTTTTAGCACAAGAAAAAAATCTTTGTTTAAAATTTACTGGATTATTGATGGTATGAATCCAATTCCAATTAACTGGTGACTCAGCACTTATTTAAATAGTACGCATTAGGATTTTTTTTGTCATGCAATTTCTTTAAAGTTCACCTTAAAACATAATTTAAATTTTCTCTTGTAGAAAGCTTTGCTAAAACATGAGGGGGTGGGTGGGGGAGCGCGGGTCAGTTGCGTTTATTCTCAATGTTTATACCATACCTTATAGCTCGAATAACCAGGGTTACAGTTTCATTTTCTTCCATCTGAAACTATAGTATAGTTAGTATTATTCTTTAGACTTTAAAATGTACTCTTTAAAACTTTTATAAATGTACTCTTCTTAGACTTTTATAAATGTACTCTTCTTAGACTTTTATAAATATTAACTTTGTCAAAGCATCTTGAACATTTGTTTCTAATAAATCACATTGACAAAACAAAGTAGAAATTTGACAAGAATTTATCAAATATCAGATTTTTTGGTAATTAACTATGCCTTCTTACAAGAATCATTTATAAAAAAAATCGGATCAACTGATAAGTTCTACAGAAATATTTACTATTTTTTTCGACAAAAAATATATACAAGTTAATAATTTTTTCCAAATGAACCGGATTAGCTGAAATATTTTCTTTAGATTTCTGAGATTTCCAATTAAGAAACATTCTTGCTTATAGCACCAGATAAATGATATCGTTGTTTAGTCTTAATTTCTTTTTTCAAATATCTTGATTTGTTAGAGAAATCAACACTCAACAGTTCTGCATCGAATGACTTGATTTCAGCATCAAATTACTTGAGTTTAGCATCAAATTACTTGATTTCTGCATCCATTTTCTTGATTTCTGTTATGAATTTCTTGACTTCTTGAATGAATTACTTGACTTCTGCATTGAATTACTTGATATCTGTAATGATTTTCTTGATTTCTGTATCGAAAAACTTGATTTCTGTATCGAATCAGTTGATTTCTGTATCAAATCCCTTGATTTCTGTATCGAATCACTTGATTTCTGTATCAAATCACTTTATTTCTGTATCAATTTTCTTGATTTCTGAATCGAACTTGTTAATATCTATCTTGTTCTTACACAAAAACTTCTATTACAAAACACTGTAATACTTTAGTTATGATTTGTTTATAATAAAAAGAAGAAATAAATTATCACCTTCAGAAAGGCATATAAGGGGGGGGGGTAAAACAAATAACCATCCGCCCCCCGAATAAGTCGTTTAGTGAATGCCGTGCTCTTAAAAGTTCATCCCAAACTATCCCCAAGTATCGATTAAAACTCATTTTTAATCCCGACAAAAACTTGTTCGCAATTAATAATACCTTTATAATAGCATAATATAAATGGATAACTTATGAACGCCTCAGGGCCTGATTAAAATTTAATAGTCCCTTTAAATTAGAAATCGTAAGAGAGGGGGGGGGGGTTAAAAAATGTATTTGAATGTTCCTTGTTTAAGTAGAATACAGGTATCTCGTATCTATATTTATTAAACCAACTTTCATTCTCCGGCAGGGTTATATCTATTTTCTGTTACAAAATGTGTACTTCAAACACAGGGCTCGGAGCTGAAAACTTTAGAATTTTGAATATCAAGATCAATTCTTGATCTTTTTATTGGTAATCTTAAGAGTTTTATAATTTTAAATTATTAATATCTGGGAAAGTGTCTAAACTGCAACCAATCAGAGTGTCGACTATAGAAACGGAACAGCTTAGCAAAAGTCGAGAAAATTTGAAATTTTGGAGAGCAATAAATGAGATAACTTAAACCCAACAGGGATATCCAAAAGGAGAGAATTATGCAGATAATTAAAAGTGTCGACAGTTGATCGGGATTAAGGGTATCCAATTCTAAAGTTTTCAGCTCTCAATACTTTTCCTNTCCTTGTCCCAATTTTGCTATAGTTTGATGTATCTCATGCAACTGTTATTCTAACTTAGGCCAAACTTAGCACATAAGTATTCAAAGATATTTTCTTTTATTGCGCGCGAGCGCGGACATTAAAGCCTTTGGAGGGGAATTTTTTTAGCGCATCTTTTTTCAAGAGTGTCAGGAAAAATGTTAAATTGCAATTAATGAAGTTAACATTGATTTACTGTCAAAAAAGTCACATTTTTTCACAAAAAGCGCGCGCGAATACAAATATTCCCCTTTAATTGGAAGGTATTTTGAAATAACGCCTGCAGTCCTATTAAGTAGAGCAAATACAATTGTAAATATTCAATTCTTCAGCTAAAGAAATAAGAATATCTCATTCCTCTGGATAAAATAAAGGTTTTAAGGGTACCGTTATGAGTTGGACATTTCACTCTATAATTAAGTGTTCAGTCCCTTTAAATAATTTCCTTCAAAAAAAATTTTATCATCTTTTTGAAAAAGTAATTTATTTTTGGAGTTCACAATTCCGTGCCTCTAATCTAACTTGATCAAGTCTAGAGCTTAAAATATCTAAAATAAAAATAAAATAACAAGTATAAAATAAAAAATCCATAAACACCTACACCTACACGTCAACAATTCGAAGTAAATACCATTATGATCAAAAAGTTTCGCTTAAATTTTCTTATGGGTACTTCAAGAAGTCTCAACTCAAAATCTTTTTTTTAAAGTTCACTATATTTAAACTGGATACATTGTTGTTGTGATGTAAGGAGTGTTCTCTTGAAGATGGATTTGCTTCGTTGTCTGGCACAGCATAGGAATATCTAGAATATTGACCAGAGGCTTGTTTACCCAAAAATGTTTTTATTAGACGATGCAAAACCCAAACAGACCCCTTAAACATGATCCAGAACGTATTTTAAAAAGAATTTTATGAACTTTAATGGTGTTTTAATGGGGTTAAGAAGGGAAAATTCATATTTGATGAATTATGACATGTCCGGGCGGGAAAAGACCATTAAAACCCCCAAAACGGTCAAAAATATTAAAAATTGTTCAGATCATATACGCAAGACTTTTAAAAGTATGTTTGCCAGAAAGTTTGATACGTGTATTTACATTGTAAACAAAGTTGTAAAGCAGGATTTGAAAATGACAAAATTTGGGCAAAACTTGTCCCTAAGTCTCTGACATGACATGACATTGATTATGTATCTCGAATGTAAATCAAAGCCAGAGAAATCCTCAAAAGTCATTAATACATTAAATACTTGATCTCTCTTAAAGGGTCTAAAACAGACTTTGATCGATCAAGTTCGAGATCATTTGAAAATTTTCTTGCTGTGACGAACGAAGCTGATATTCTTTGGGAGAACGCTTCTTAAAGTTACTACAAAGATCTGATTGACATCAACTGATTTAAAAAGTAATCCGGTATAGATACAGTGAAATTTCAAACAAAAATTTCAGGGCTGAGACTTCTACAAGTACCAATACTTTTTTAGCGAAAGGGGATGGTGGAGTTGGCACATTTGAACGATAAACAAAAATACACTAAGATAAAAATGCCCGATAAACAAAGATAAACTAAGATGAAAATGTCCGATTTACAAAAATACACTAAGATGAAAATGCCTGATTTACAAAGATAAACTAAGATGAAAATGACCGATTTACAAAGATAAACTAAGATGAAAATGACCGATTTACAAAAATACACTAAGATGAAAATGCCTGATTTACAAAGATAAACTAAGATGAAAAAGACCGATTTACAAAAATACACTAAGATGAAAATGTCCGATTTACAAAAATACCCTAAGATGAAAATGACCGATTTACAAAAATACCCTAAGATGAAAATGCCTGATTTACAAAGATAAACTAAGATGAAAATGCCTGATTTACAAAGATAAACTAAGATGAAAATGACCGATTTACAAA